TGAACTGTCTGACTAAAATATTTTCTCTATTTTTACTAAAGTGCAAATTCAATCTATCTGAAATGAAACCTACATATCCAATATATCTTACCATCATAATTTTATGTCTATTAGACAAGAATTCTGAGCCAAATTTACATACTTTCAAGCCGGATACATACGGCGGCAAAAAGATTTGCTTATCACGTGTGAATCTTTCACTCTCAAAATATTTCCGAAACTTTCACCTTATATGTGTAGTTTTAATGCTCTTAATATTAGCTGGCATTGAACAAAACCCAGGCCCTAAGATGTCCAAACAAACGACGTTGGAAACAAGCTTAGATAGGGATAAAGAGATAAAGGTATGATAAATGCACTCACCAAAAGGCTGGATAGCTGGGGTCAGAGGCTGGAATCCCGTCTTTCGGCAATCGACGATAGAGTAGAAAATATAAACCAAAGACTGCAACAACTAGAGGAATATTCTGCCGTTACAAAGGCAGCACTCTCTCAAAACTCAAAAAAAAAAAAAATAAAAGACTTAGAAGACCAGCTTGAACACTTGGATGCAAAGAGCAGAGAAAGGAACCTCATTTTTTACGGAATAGAACAAGATAATAACGAGGACTGCCGAGAACGGATACGGAAGGTTATCGAAGAAAATATGCAAACAACGGAGAAGATAAACATCACGCGATGCCACCGATTATCCAGAAAACCTGGTGCACCGATCCTGATTGAAGTCCCAGAACAAAACGATAGATCAACTCTATTCAAAGTTGCTTTCAATTTAAGAGGAACTAAGATATCACTATCGAAAGACTATAGCATGAAGATGAGAGAACAACGGCGCGTTTTGAATGTCAAAAGAAGAGAACTCGTCGAAAAAGGTACTCTAGCTAAGCTAAGGGACAATAAATTAATAATTAATGACATAGCATATAAAGTCTGTGATGGACAAATTGTAGATGCCAATGGACATTCGTTGTAGCAAGCAGTTAGGAAACAATCACTTGTAAATAGTCAACCCAACGATACCTTTTCACTGACCTGCTGGCTGAGACTATCAATAGATCATCCAATCTTGCCCCCAAATAGGAAAACCCGAAATACATGCTCAGTTAATCATCGCCACTCAAATTACCCTACAAATAAACCTTTAAAAGCAAAAGGTAATCCCTTAAGGATCATATACTGGAACATAAATGGATTTTTTAGAATTTCTTCGGTCTTCTCTCTCTTCGATTACTTGAAATTGTTTGATATTTTTGCTGTAACTGAAACCTGGTGCCACTATTTACTTGACCTAGCTGTAGAAGATTTTGAGTTTTACCAATCACCAGCTGTTAAACCTTGGAATCGAGGGAGAAGCTCTGGAGGAATCCTTGTAGGAATTAGAAAGGAAATCCAAGGCTTAATCTACAAAGTTGAAATTGAGCCTAAATGGATCTCGGTTATATTTAAACTGGCTTCAATAGCAGACTCACCCCTAGTGTGTGCAATTTTTGTTTACTTACCCCCAAGCGAATTACAGCTAGAAAATCTAAAAAAATTGTTTTGCTATGTTGAAAATAAAATGCAACAAGGATTCAAAATAGTTTTAGGCGGTGATTTAAATATTCGCATTGGCTACTTGGGTGCTTTCCACAACTTGTTCCAGATCCCAGTTATGCTTTCCGTCTACCGTACCTCCAGAGATCCAACCGTGTCCGCCCTGGCTGAGACTCTTGTCGATTTCCTTGATGATAACTCCCTCACTATACTAAACGGAAGATCTATTAGTGATAAAAACGGATGCTATACTTTTATCTCACATCAGGGGTCTTTAGTTTTGGACTTATTCATGGTTTCTCCTGCACTACTGGAACTTGTTCTTGACCTAAGTATAGAAAGTTTGCCTTACTCCGATCATTTGCCACTTCTTCTAAAACTAAACGGATCAGACAATACAAAAGCGAAAAGCCTACCTCTAGAGTATATTCCTGTAAAAATATTTACCTGGTCAATAAATAAAGCTTCGACATATGAACTTTGTCTCGAAGACCTAAATGCTCTCCAACTACCGGAAGACGCCTCAATAGACCTATGTGCTGACACTCTTACTAGCAGGATTCAAACATCAATGATGAGAGCAGGAATGCTAACAAAGGGAAGAGAGGATAGTTCGCGGTCTAAGCCATGGTTTGACGGAGAATGTTATACAGCAAAAACATATATGAAAAAAAATCTTGTTATATTTGACTCTCAATACTCCTATTTATAAAGATTTGTTTATTACGAGTAAACGCAAATATCTATCATTGCTCAAATACAAAAAGAACAAATATTCTGATTCTGTTCAAGCTGCCCTTAGCAATGTTAGGGACTCTGCCGAATTTTGGAAAATAATTGCGTCCTTTATAAAACGGAATAGCACAAAAGGAAATATTGACATATCAGAGTGGGAATCCTTTTATCAGGGTTTATTGTCGCCTCCTCAAAGAATTGTGGCTGATATACCTACTCTACTAATTCCTATTGACTCCGAGCTGGACGCCGAAATTTCACCTTTGGAAATTGCGAGGGAAATCGCTAGCTTGAAAAACAATAAAGCAGCAGGTTACGACAGTATACCAAATGAATCTATCAAAGCCCTACCTGAGAATGGTTTAATCCTTTTATCTAACTTATTCAATAAAATATTAACTAAATCCCAAGTTCCTTCACAGTGGTCAAAAACCATAATCCAACCAATATTCAAAAATGGTGATCCGAATGCACCATCAAATTATAGGGGCATTGCGCTTATAAGCAACTTGTCAAAACTTTTTACATCCATATTAAAAAATAGACTAAGTAATTGGATTGAGAATAGAAAACTCATAGCGGAAAACCAGGCAGGATTCAGAAGGGGTTACTCGTGCCAAGACCATATCTTCACGCTTACATCACTAATCCAAATGACATTAAACCGCAAAAGAAGGAAACTTTACGCATTCTTTGTTGATCTTAAAAAGCGTTTGATACGGTTCCACATTTACTATTATGTAGAAAGCTTGCGCTTGTTGGTTTAAGTGGGCGCGATTTATCAAACTCATACAGAACTACTATGCTCAAATGATGGCAGCAGTCAGATGGAACGGCTCTTTTACAGAATTCATCAAAATACAATCAGGTGTTCTTCAGGGTGAACCTCTTTCACCGTATTTATTTATTATTTTCATTAACGATCTGGTTGCTACACTGGATGATTCTGACCTGCCAGGTATATACTTACCGGGTCATGGAACTATACACCTCCTCCTGTTCGCGGATGATATAGTCCTCTTTGGTGAATCCAAGATAAATCTTCAAATAAAGATTAATCTAATAAAAATATATTTTGAGGAAAATGGTTTAACTCTGAACCAATCCAAGTCTAAAATCGTAGTGTTTCGAAATGGAGGCCGCTTGGCCAGATCTGACGTTTGGTTTTGGGGCCAACAACTCTTGACAGTATCTTCAAAATATACATATCTTGGCCACCCCTTACCTACCAAGAATACAACTGCTTACGTGGCGCAGCACTTTAAAAGCAAAGCATTGGTTGCTACAAACGCAGTATGGAGAATACTATCTAAGTCAAGAACCAAATCGTTCGGAGCAGTGATGAAATTACTTGACTCCATAGTTTTATCCACGTTGTTATACTCGGCCCCCATGTGGGCGACAAATCAGATAGTAGTTGTAAACCAGATCCAGGATATTTTCCTACGGCGATTTCTTGACCTACCCAAATATACTCCGGGCTACATCTTACGAACAGAAACCGGAAGGATGTCCCTTGAATTAAACATTACGAAATTGATTCTAAAGTTCTGGATATGGATTTTAAAAATGGACAGGACAAGATTACCCTATGTTTGCTTGTCCCAGCTCTGGAAAGTTTCAATTGTGGGAAAAGCGGGAAACAACTTTATTCATAACTTGAATAGCATCATTGACTCTAGGGGTTTTTCTTTTCTTAAGAACTGTGAAGATTATATGGTTGTGCGAGGAGAAATGCCTAGAATTATTCAAACCACAGTGGACCAGCTACTCCAATTTGACCGAGCTAAGATACAAGCCTCAACTCATTTTATTCACTACCAATTTCTAAGTAGCTCCTTTATGACGGAGGACTACTTACTATCAAACCTCCCTTTGATAATTAAACGATTTATAGCCCGTCAAAGGATTCTATGGCTACTTTTCCGCGAGGATATCACGGGATTTTGGAACAGCGACCCTTTAAATTGCTACTTCTGCAATGTTGGCATCCAAGACAATTTGGTCCACTATCTATTCCATTGCCCATTCCTACATGAAAAGAGACTGGAAATTCGCGAAATTTCGGAGCTAGCTCACTACAATGAACAACATGTATATGCAATCTTTAATGCTCTCCTGCTGGATAAAACATTTGTTTATAATAATTTTTAAATTTTTCAAGGCGATTGATAAAATGAGAGAAGAGGTGCTCAACTCCACAGACAATGGCTGATTGCTCCCCCTCCCCTCTAAATTGCTTTTCCTCCTCACTCATGTACATATATAACCTTTAGGGGAATCCCCTTGTAAGACAATAGTGTCTTAATAAAGGTTTTTGTTGTTGTTGTTGTTGTTTATAGTCATTGAAGGATACAAGTCGGTGGACGAGCGGGTAACACCCTCGATTCCCGACAGTCATGAACCGGGATTGAATCCCGCGTTAACATTTTGTTTAATATGTGAATAACCTTCATATATTATTCACTGTTTCAATTATCATAAACTAGGTTGCTCTTGTTGAGCGGTACCTAATAAAGTGATTTTGAACCGGATAGTCATTGATTTACAAAACTTAGAATCAAAAGTTAAAATTTATACGAAATCTCAGCAAAATATTTAAATATGCACATCAATATTAAACCCAGTATTATTATCTACATATAAAACAATTTACACGCTATGATATTAGAATATATATGTAATTAATCCAGGTTCCTTAGGCCTTCAAAATATCTATCTAACCACTCGTGTGGTCAGTCAGACTTAATCGAACCAGGGACCTTTAGATATTCAGTCTAACGCTCTCCTAACTGAGCTATTTCGGCTTATTTAACATATACACAACATATTTTAACAGTATATAAAGTAGAATCTGGAAAAATTATATAATTGCCTTATTCTGTCTGTGTGAAGTTCACGGATAGATTTTGGTCAGGTACGGTAAGTAGAAATTTAAAAATTAAAAAAAAAAGATGCCGAAACCCGGGATCGAACCAGGGACCTTTAGATATTCAGTCTGACGCTCTCCTAACTGAGCTATTTCGGCTTATTTAACATATTCATAACATATTTTAACAGTATATAAAGTAGAATCTGGAAAAACTCTTAGTGAAAATTTCAGGTCTCTATCCCGAATATCCGTCGTGTTATTTGCAAATTTGCTCTTTCGCTCGCGCCTCTAGCGGTGAAAATGAGGGGTAATACCAGCTGACCTAATGTACATGTAAAGTTTGGAGCGGGACGTTTCACAAGAGTGACATCCACGGCTCCAATTTATAATTGTAACGAATAGTATTCGAATAAAACATTTAATCGGGTAAAAGCCGGGCGTTGCCCGGGTCATTCGGCTAGTTTACAATAACTGTGGAAGTCCAAGATATTAATGGTGTCAAGCAGATTTATTTCGAGGGATATTTCTCATTGATGACAGGTTGAGATTTATAATTCATAGGAGAGTGGAAGTTTGATTTCTTTGTTATCAGAAAGCTGAGAAGAGGAAGAGGAAATGAGCAATTTGTTTCTGGTATTCATTCTATCAGTTGGGATAAATCGATCCTTTTTAAATTTTTCATGCGTCATGCGTTGCCATGGCCAGTTAGGTAGGTTGTTGAAGTGCACTCATGTTAGATTCTTGGAAGCATGGAGATGAATATTCTTAGAGTAAATATTTTTAGATTGCTGGTTGTATAATCCATAATGTATAGGTCTATCGGTAGATTCTGTGTGATTTGAGTTATATTATTGTAGGCAACGCTTTATGGAAAGATTTTGAAAGACAATGTGTAGGTTAAAAGGTCCAGCCGGGCTCGGCTCTTTGGTCTGCTTGTTCATTTCCCAGAATACCGCTGTAACCTTTGACACTGCAGAGTTGAACATTGGGTGTGTACAGTGGGGTGGACTGCATATGACAGAAAGAGTCATTTGGCAGTCTGAGGCAAATCGGAAGTTTACACGCGGGAAAATCTGGCTAGCTTTAGTCACCTAAAGAACTAGAATTTCGTCTTGAAATGTTGAATATTTGTGATATCAGACGTTCATTACGCTTTAGAAACTTCTCCGCTTATTTTATTCATTTTAAAGAGAATATAAAAATTATATTCAATATTTTATACCTGGCCAGCAGTCAGCTAAAAGTTTTATATTTATTACTTTTGCTTTGTAAGCTGTTTTAAGCTAATATATCAAATTTTTCGTTTTTGAAAGAAACTATACAATTTCTATTCTATAGTCTATTCCATGCCACGACAGTCACCTAGAAGTCTGAAACTTTGTAAACTTGCATTGCTAGCAGTAATAAAACAGCCTATAAAATACCAATCTTCTACATGGTCTAGATGTATATTAATAACTAGATCATTATCCCGTTCTACACAAAGGGTCTAGAACTATAGTCATTTCTAAATTCCCCTTGTTAAAATTTTACCCTTATATATTTTTTTATATATGTTGTAATTACCTTCTATATAGGTATTTTAATATAAATATGTGCATGCTGATATTGGAAACAGACACAAATAACTTAATTATTACAGATAAATTAATATATATTTTTAATTTTATTTATAAAAAATTCTTGTTTTTAATTCCAAAGAGGTTTCAGATAAGAACCAGGAAGAGGTCCCCCCCCTTCCGGGGCTTTTTTTAGGCGATCCTGCCCGGGATCAACACAACAGTGTCAGCTCAGAGTGCGATACAATGTGTCCATCTACGCAGGCCGCCTCTGGCTCTCTCGCCTTGTCTCGGTGTTAGGCATCCAGGTTTGTGTCATGGCCTCCACCTCTGTCCCGTGGGCTGTCTCCGACCCGCTCGGTGCTAACATCTAGCCCTACCTCTGATTCGCAAGTAGCAGTTGTTGTCCGCGTCCGGGAAAACATCCCCACTTTCACCCCACGTCCACGACTGCCAGTTTATTCACGCGTCGGTTTACTAGGGATTTTACAACACTCACACACATATATATATGCGAGATGATATTGAAATCATATAACTGAATTATAACGGATAAATTATTATATTTATTGACTTTTGACAGCATTTTGCCTGTAATTACAAGGAGGTTTTGAATAGGAACCTGAATATTCGGACACCTAACTCTTTTGGGGTCTTGAACAATCGCTGAAAAATCAATTCGCAACTCACAACAGTTTCCGACTTGACTTCATGCCACACATAAGATTTAAAAAGAAATATAAAAATATGTTCATTCCCGGCCACTCCGACCACCCAGAAGTCTGAAGATTTGTACACTTGCATTGTTCATTGGACTGAGCGAGTGTTAAAATTTTCATACTTCTATGTGGTCTGGACGCATATTAAAATTAAATGTAAAATTTTGAAAAGAAATTTGGGAATTGATCCGTTCCTGGCCATTCTGATAGTCCCGAAGTCGAAAATTTAGTCAACTTGCATTGTCATCAGATTCTAACAAGTGTACAAAATTTCATATTTCTAGTAATATATTTTTCGTATACTTCTAGAGCATGAAGATTTGTGGACAGACAGACATGGAAGCAAGTTAAATAAAAGCTTTTCAAGATAAATATTTTCTACAATTTTACAAAATCCATTAATTTTTTAACTATTCTGAATATTTTCGATACATACCAATATTCGACGTCTTGTATTTTAGAGAAAATGATGAAAATAATCAGAAGAGTTAGGATATAAGAAGTCATTCCACTGAGGAGGGTGATGGCTTGTCACCGAAATTTCGGGAAGAAAATAACTCGAAAGAGGTTCATATATCTACGGGTATATATCTTTTTATATAACAAACTTTTAACCCCCAAGGAAACGGTATTTAAAATAAAGAAACGTATTTCTTATGTAATTTATGTTTGTATATTTTTTTACAGACAGAAATTTATAAATTATTTAATAGGCTCTTATATAGGTTAAAAAGAAAATGTGTATTTTTGATTAAAGGATATTAAAGATATGTCATTAGGTTTTAGGCGTTGTTGTATATTAACTCAAGCCTGAAAGCTAACCTATGCATTTATATTCCACAATGAATAATGAAACGTGTTTTGCATGCAATTTCTTTTCCTCTATTGTATTTATTCATATATATTAATATTATAATTAACCTTATATAATCTTATATGAACATTGTAATAAAGTAGTCTCAGTGTCCCAATCTCTCCTTCTCCCTCTCACTTTGCATATTATGAATATCTCAAAGGTTTGAATTTTTTATTTTTATTAAAATCCTCAACCTAATTTTTTTTCTTCTAAAATTTGCCCCACGTTCAAATTGAAATATCAGTTCCCTATACACATCTTTTCAAATACAATATTTTCTTATTTGGGTTTTGAAATTATTTGTGTGTTTCAGAAAATGCTGAATCCAGATTACAAAATGAAGAGTTCCTTGCTGATTCTACTCTTGATTCAGCTAATTTCTTCTCTTAATTGTGTATTCGTATTTCCAGAAAGTCAAGAAAGTGTTGAAATCATAGATCCTTGCTTGGTTTACCATCAATGCAACACTTCTATGGCTCCTTCATGCCAATGTGATGAACAATGCCATGTTTTCCAAGATTGCTGCCCGGACATACCATCTATCAAAACAGAAGATCCTTTTCAAAGAATGTTTAAATGTAATCCTGAAGGACGTTTAATCATCTCAAAATGTCCTGTAAACACTACAAGCGATGTAAGAATGAAGTGTGAAAACCCTAGTGTTGACATTTTTGGATATGTACCGGTATACGATTCAAAAACAGGTTATTTGTTTCAAAATAAATATTGTCTCCAATGCTATAATATATCATTGGAAAATACAACCTTTTGGTCTCTAGACATTTTTTGTTCAAATTTTGATATTCAAGATTCAAATGAAACAAGTTTTTCTTTAGGTAATGACTTGGTATATGATTATAATAGATCTTCTTGGGGAATAAGAATTGGGGATACCTTAAACCTATGTACATTTACCTATCAATATCCTATGGATTGGGATATACCTCCAATTCGGCATTGCGAATATACGAAAGTGACTATATCCTCTTGTCCAGATGACTGGGAGGATGAGACCATCCGAGAGAAATGCCTTTCACTAAATGGTCACATCTTTAAAGGAGGAATCCAATACAAAAACATTTATTGCATGATTTGCCACAATATTGCTATCAATAATACATATTGCGTACCAATGTTTTCGAGATTTCGTCCTCCGTCATTTGGAATCCTAGTCGACATGAATCCAGCTTTAGGTGACCGTGTAGGATATGTCACGAGAGGTGAGAAATGTCCTCCAGGCCAAGCTGTATTTGGTGACGAATGCAGGGAAGTGAGCTGCGGTTTACCTGGTTACAAGGTGGTCAATGGAGAGTGTGTCAAAAGAAAGCGACGAGAAGGCATTCTAGTCTGAAAACCTACACTATTCTATTCTCGGGACTAATTAGTTCCAAATGAATATCTACCTTGTTGCTCATCTGTTAATAAATTTGGAAAATAAATATTTTTCTTTGTGTGCGTTTAATTTTATCAAACAAAACTTTGTGTTCAGGAAAAAACAATGAACGAATGTCTGTAGCACACTGGTGGGCTTCTAAGCCAGGTTCAAATCTTGTGTGTAATCAGGAGAGATCATTACTTGTTTCTTTAATAAGAGCGGGCGAAACTATCTGCAAGTTTTTTTGAGAATGTACAAGTATTACAACAAGATCAAAAGATCTGACTGCAAGAAACTTCCCCTCTCTCCTGGCCAGCCGTAAACACACGTAGTAGGGATGTAAGTCTGGAAAATACTTTAAATTATGTAATGCAATAGTGTACAAGAAACAAACTGAAGCTAAGCCCGGAGAAAAAACCAACTTAC